CACTCTGATATTTGTAAATAACTGAGGACATAGTAATTGATCACTATGTCCTCAGTTATGAATGAACAGGAAGTGCTAAACATCACTTCCTATTCATTCATGACTGGGGATATACTAATCACTTATCTCCTTTATGAATGGAGAGGAGTTTTGCACAGATCACCTCCTCTTCATTCATAACTGTGGAGATAGTAAATATTTACCATCTCCTCACTTCGTGAATGAACAGGAAGCCCCTGTACTGAGTGCTTTCTGTTCATTCGGGGCTGAAGCTGGTCTGGCCGGCTGAGGTCAACAGTGTAAGGCAGGGCCTGGGAACAAGGGGTTCATATGGCTTGGCTTTTCTAGGAGACAGGAAGAGAGGTGATTTTCTGCTAAGTGAGTCATCCTGCAATTAATGTAATCTGGTCTCCCTGCCCTTCAATCATCAGACGTATTGTACTGCAGACAAATGTATTGTATTTACAATCAGCTCATAAATGGAATCACACTTTAAGTTTCACAAACAAAACATCTTCAGCAATATCTGGAACATACACACTGATTAGCATCTGAAACACATCCTGCAGAGCAGCGCTGTGCAATGCCATTAACATGAACCGAGAAAGTGCGGAGTGACTAGGCCTGGTAATGATGTTTACGTAGCACTTTTTTGCTTACTGATTCCAGACAGCAAGAAATAATATATACTGTGCACTGACTTATTTTTTTTAGATTTCCCAAAATAGAGGACTAGCAGAAAATGAAAAGAAATGCCAGCTGCAACAAGAAGTTATTCATGGTCTTTTGTTCCATACATGTGCCATAGACGGTGTGAAAAGTAGTATAGTATAATATAGTATTATTATTATTATTAATACTAATATATGAATTAATTATTATTATTATAAATAATACTAATAATAAAATACTCACTGCCACAGACAGTGATTTCAGCAAAGAATGTGGAATTGTTCAAGAAACTTTTGGACGATTTCTTAAGGGACCGTAATATACAGGGGTACAGGTACTCCTAGAATGAGATCCTAATAGGTTGGACTTGATGGACTAATGTCTTTATTCAACCTCAAATACTATGTAACTATGTAACTATGTAACAATAAAATACAATAAACAAATATTTAAAAAATTTAATTAAAAATAATTACACAATGTTAAGGTTCATGTCATATTATGCCAGGGCTGTAGCTGCCATGGGGCGAGTGAGGCACTGTTGCCATGGCAAGCACAGGGCAACAGGGGCGCAAGGCGGCCAACACAGCCGCGGTTCGGCAGGGAGAAGAGGAGCAGCACAGGCTCCAGCTTCTTCACAGATCGCCGCTGCTCTCCCCCACCTATTTGGGCAGAGGACTCTGTGTCCTCAATCTTTTTTTCTATTTCAAAAGGGAAATGTCAGGGGTCTGTTTAGACCCCCAATATTTCCCCGAAGCCCCCCAACAGTGACAAAAAAAAAACCACACACACACACATTACTAGACATGTGCAAAGACTAAACATTTGTTTCGGACGAAATGAACGGAAACTAAAAATGTTTTCATTAGTTTCGACAAAATAGAAAAAAATGAAATGCTATTTTGGATTTGGCCAGCAGCACATTCTGCGCATGTGCGCCACCATCCTGGAGGCGGGGCGCATGACGTCACATACCGCACACATCTGTTGTGGGGCACAATTTTCTGTTCTCGCCTCGGGCGCAAAAGGAGCTAGCTACAGCTCTGTATTATGTAAAGGATTCGTTCTAAATATAGGACTTAAAGTTGACCTATGAATAAAATTCACACCACATGGCATATGTAAGCACTATAAAATCACATTTTATTCTGAGTGGAAAAAAAAATAACCACTGTCTTGCCAGGAATAAAAGGAAAATTGTTGTGGAGCTTCCACATGCCTTCTCAGTCCTAAGACAAAGATCACATGATTATTGGCAACCACGAGCATTGATGGGGTTTTACCACATTAGAGTCTATTGTTATAAATCGAATGTTCTTGAGGAAAAGAGTCAGAAAGATTTTAGTGCAAAATAAGAAAAAATGGGTTGAAGACTCAGACATTGAAGAAAACTTAAATCTGGAGATGATGAAGACTGGAGGAGCTATGATTTTACTCAACATCAGCAAGAAATGATGAAGAGGGATATTGTGCTCTCAGAAAAAAAAAAGATTAAGTTTATTGAATATGGTCTGCAAAATATTCCAACATAGTGAAGAAATAATTGACAAAAATTCAATAGAATACTGGACCGGGATTCTTAAAGCACATTTAAAATTCATATTTCGTTCTTTGGCCCCTGCTGGAGAACCAAACCATGTTAGGATTTCGTATGCATCTCAGCTGCTCCGCTGAAGTCCCATTGTCTGTTTTAGATGTTTAAAGCTCTTGCTTTTTATTTCCCCCTTTAATGTTTAATGTTCTATTAATTTTTTTATGGAATTATGTTTTAAATTATTTTACGTTGCGGGGACTGCAATAAGAAAAATAATTGAAAAGACATTAAGGTGGATGAAAACGTCTATCTTGGTGGGTGGTAACAGAACTTGGAGTTTTGGTGGGGGAGATAGATGTCAAGATCTGGGATCAGGCTCGGAGTCCAGTAGCTGAATCAGCAGGCAAAGTCGTAGTCAAACAGGTCGAGTTTGGTACACAAGCAGACGGTAGTAGTAAAGGAGCAGGCAGAAGCGTAGTCAGAGATCAAGCCGAGGTCAGTAGCCAAAGGTATCAGGTATGAAGCAGAAGACGATGAGAGAGTAGTCGGTGAATCAGTAGCAAAAGGTTGGTACGCGGGTAGCAGTATGAGCGGATTGTATCACAGAGGGAGCAGGAAGCAAGATAATGGCAGGAGCACAATAATCTGGCAAACAGGAAGTGCAGAGGCATGGCTTAAATAGGAAGGTCAAGGGAGGAGCAAGGAGTTCAGAGTTCATCAGAAACTAGGTTTACCTGAGGATTACACAGGAGATCAGGCAAGGAACTATCCAAGGTTCTAAGGTGGCTCAGGAGGTAGAACCACTGCCAGCTACAGCAGATCCGGTTCCTGACAATAGAACCACTGCAGTCCTTGAAGCTGAAATCTGGGCCAGGAACCACCAAAAAACACCACCCACCTCCCCTTAGCTAATCTTTCAAGTAATTTAACAAAAGAATCTAAATACTCACCTGAATCTGAGGTCATGTGACATCCTAAGTCTTCTCTCTTCTTGACTGCAGAGTGGGATTGTCCTTCTATGGGTGCCCACGTAGTTGCCTGGTGATGTTGATACTTCCCATAGGCTTCCCTTCATCAGGGTCCTCACAGATCCTGAAGGCTCCAGCGGCGGTCACTCCTGGAAAAGGTGCCACAGAGGGTCACGTGTTGCAAGAAGGTATAAAAAGCCAGGATGTGACACCTTCCACCTTTCCCCTAATGCAATAAGCTTTCTTGCACAAATAAAGGGCATCAAAGGGTTATTTGAATTACGTGAAGGAACGGTTATACAGATTAATGTTTATAAAATAATTGTAAGTATGGGAGTGACACAGGCAGATAATGGCCTCAATAAGCTTAAGTACATCAGTAGCATCAACTAGGGCCAGAGTCATGGGGAGGCAATAAGGATGCAATAGGAGGCTATGTCTCCCCAAAATGCATATTTAAATCCTTACACATCTCTCATATAGAATTAACAGTCATTTCTTCCATTGTAAAGGTGCCCATACACCTTACAACCATCGCAAGACTCTTGTCTTGCGATGGTTGTAAGCTAATTAAAAGCTTGTACGATCTGCCCATCTTGGACAGGCAGATCGTACTTGCGATCATCGCAAGCCCGCTCCCATGAGGGGCGTGCTTTGCGATGACTGCAATGAGGGGCGGGCTTCTGATGACTGCAAACGGGCATTGTGCGCGTGCGCACACCGGCCCGTTCGGCAGTTGTCAAACAAGCAGGCCACTAACGGGTTTTCAAGCCTGCTTGTTCGACGGAAGACGTGCCACCGTACAGTAGAAACGGTCGCACGCCTTCCATACACTTTGCGATTATCATGCGATCGCGGGATTTCCCGCCATTCTCGTACGATAATCGTACAGTGCATGGGCACCTTAAGGGTGATCTCCCAATGCATATACAATGCCCCCTTTTCGGCCAGCAGGCATGAACAAAATTTAGATTTGCCTAAAATTTGGGGATAACACTCCCTGCCAACAGACATAAATGATAGACACGTGCACCGGCAAAAAAAAAATTTCGATTTGATTCGGATTTTGCGTCATTTCGTTTCAGGAATCCGGATTCGGACGAAATTCGTTAGCAGTAGTCTGTATGAATTCTTGTTTCGTTTCGTTCGTTCGCAGCAAAGTAACATTTGAGGGGGGATTTTTTTTTTCTTCTCAAATGCCACTTTGCTGCAACAAAATTTAGTTTGTTGGACGAAGTTTCGTACAGACTACTGGTAACAAATTTTGGAATCTGAAATTCGGATTAGTTTTTATTCGTTATATCTGTCATTCGGATACATCCGAATCTCCGAAATTTTGTCAGAATTTCGGTTCGGAACTAAACAAATCGCACATGTCTAATGAATGGCAAGTGTGGTGTTCTTCCAAAAATGCTAAATGCACCCTTTTGGTGCTGATTGAGGTGTTAGGCAACCCATTTAAACATTTGGGCTGCTGTTATGCAGTGCGATGATGTGAATAGGCCCCAAATGTAATGAGCCAAAGTGACATGCAACCTTCCTCTACATTTTTGCTTTAAAAAAGGAAGCAGAAGGTTTTTTTCAAACACAATTTGCCCTCACAGCTCAATTAATTGGAAGTCTCCACTTTGGCCGAAGGATAAATCTGTTACTTTCACCCCATTAATCCCTACTAGTCAGTATCTGGTGCCAGCTCAGCCTTTACATTGCCCCCACAGACTTACAACTCCAGGAGCCCGGTACGCTCCACTATTTGTGGGCAGGGACAAGTGGCCATCATTTTATTATGATAAGCTCTGATGTTAGTTTAATTGCCCGGCAATTACCTGATTGTGCAAATGCCAGTTTTCAAAGTCGTTTTCGGTGCACCTTCGGCCAAAAACAGATTTGTAATCCACTTTCACCAGCTGCCACTCCGACAAGAGACTGAAGTGTCCAAACACTCTGCAGAGAAACAGACAGTAAGGTTAAGCTGTAAGCAGGTTATTCCACTTATTAAATGTAACAGGCGTGTTTATAATCAGGAAAAAAAAGGTATCTCCAGATAATCCTGTTCCTCCGACTGGAGGCTGTAGATGTCTTTCCATTTCGGCCTCCAGAGGAATGAAAGCACTGCGGATCAATAGTGCTGTTGTATCAATCAGTTTAATATGAGAGGTTGTCTCTTGGTTCTTAGCCCAGGCACATCTGAAGGGAATCTTGGCTGAGCATACAAAATATTTCTCAGATTAGTTCTTTGGAGAACACGCATATCCCGGGAGACCGCTTTGCTCATAACAAATACCACGCCATCAGGGCAAGAGCCAATATTCTGAAATGTTACTACTGCTGAAGACTAAGTGACCTGGGGATGTTCCTATGGGGAATTGGAACTTAGAGTGGTCATTTTAGTTACTTCACAATCTGCATGGTTCCTGACATGTCACATTATACAGCAACAGTATCATTTTTCAGAAAAGCGAAACCATTTATCATTACAAAGTCATCCTTGAGGTCCAGTCAGTGTCTATGCCTACGCTGAGATAAATTATTAATCACACTGCTGCAGGCAGGTTGAAGTAATTCCTCAGTCTCCCCTCCCCTAGTGATCAGATTGCTGCAG